GACTCCAGGATCATGACCTGAGCCAAAGGCAGTCGCTTAACCAACTGAGCCACCCAGGCGCCCAAATGTGGGAAATCTTATCCTGCTGTGGACCGTGGCGATTTCTGACCATGGATCTGAGCTTTTTCCTTTTCCCTGCGGAACTGAACACTGCTGAAAGCATCTCTAGGGTCCGAAAGCCCTCGACGTGGGGTTGTTTATCGTAGGGTCCACGAATTCCCTGGAATTACATGCATCGGTCCCACGGCCCCTGTCCCCATTCTGGCCCATCATCCCACTCTCAGGTGACTCTAAGAACTTCCTCTCCGGAGTTGGAGTCCTCTGCCTCTCTTCCTGACACCTACCCTCCCCCAAAGCTGCCACCCTTCTAAGACAAGGTCATTCGCCAGCTTAAACACCTTCAGTGACTCTCGTTTTTGTCCTAAATAAATACTTTTAGCATGGCACGAATGGCAATTCAACATCTTTTTAGTGTCATTTCCTACACCAAACCTAAGCTTCATCCACATCAAACCTCTCAATTGTTCACAAACACACCTGTGTCTCTAGGACTCTGCCTGTGTCATTCTCTCCTCCGGGAACGCCCTTCAGCACCTCTGGTCTCCCCAGACGCGAGTGCTTCAAGGCCCTGCTTCCATCTGGCCTCCACCGCGGGCCACCCTCGGCATTCCACGCAGAAATAACACCTGGCGACAACGCACCCTCCTGGCGCACTGCTCCCATGCAAAGAATAAACTGAAACTAATGCTTATGGAGCTCTTACTCGATGCTGAGTACTCCGTGGCGCATGACTTATCGCTTTTATCCCCCATCTCTGATCCCTTGCCCGGCATGTGAGGGAGTCGACTGCCTTCATTTTTAGAAGAGGAAACCGAGGTTCAGAGAGGTTAAGGATGTTGCCCTCCTTCCCAGAGGACCAGGGGAGACAGCGGCCCCCTGCTCAGGGCCCCCTCCAGCCTCACCGTCAGTGCTGGCGTCATCCACCAGTATGATCTCCTTCAGCAGGATGGCAGGGGCGGTGTGCAGCACACTGTACACGGTCCGCAGCAGCGTGGACCAGGCCTCGTTGTGAAACACGATGATGACGCTGGTGGTGGGCAGTGGAGGGCAGCGGCGGAACTTCTGGTCGACACATCTAGAAGGATGGAGGTCCAGATACAGCTCTCCAGGTCCCCGGGAGTTCCAGGGGTGAGAGGGCCCTGTCCATAGGCTGCCATCACCATCCTCTGCTCTCCGTTGCGGTTGGGAGGAGCTGCTCCCTGTTCCTGGCTTACTCTGATTTTCCACCGACTCTGAGCCTCTGCACAGGTTCTAGCTAAACCCACTCCAAACCCCGTCTGCCCCACGGCTGGCTCGGTGCCCCAGCTGTGATGCGGAGGGCTCCCCTGCCCTCCCTCTGACTTCCCTCGTCTGCTCCCCACCCTGAGCTCCCAGGGCTGACTCTCTTCCTCAGTAATGTGTGTACTGTAAAAAGTGTAATCCAATCCAGAGGTCCCCGAGGGGAAGTAATAAAGGGCAAATTTGACATCTGAGAAAAGTGACTACAATTTCCGTGCTCAAGCAGAGAAAAAGGCTCTTTTCTTTACAATTTACAGTGCTTCTCTAACCCATTTCCTCATTAATTCTCTGTAACCTGATACTACCATCACACACAATTTCCTGTGACCTGTTCTGTGTCTTCATCGACTCCAGCTACGCTGGGCATGTGGGCACGCCACCACACTCTTGACACTCTCCCTTGGGTGGGGGTGGGACAGTGTGAATCCTAAACCTCAGGGAATCATGTGGCCTGACAATCTATTTTGTCTCTCTCTCTTTTTTTAAGATTTTATTTTACTTACGAGAGAGAGAGAGAAGGAGCAGGGGGAGTGGCAGAGGGAGAGGGAGAAGCAGGCTCCCAGCTAAGCAGAGAGCCCGACGTGGGGCCCGATCCCAGGACCCTGGGATCATGACTTGAGCCAACGGCAGACGCTTAACCGACTGAGCCACCCAGGTGCCCCCTGACAGCCTTTCTTATTCCCCCTCTGCTGTCAGAGAGATTTCTTTTTTTTTTTTTTTAAGATTTTATTTATTTTATTTGACAGACAGAATGAGAGAGAGAGCACACGAGAGGGGGGAGGGTCAGAGGGAGAAGCAGACTCCCTGCCGAGCAGG